TTATATAAGACTTAACATCTTCTACCGAAGTTTCACTAGAAAAGCGCGAAACAAACACAGATTTATTCGCAGGAACTTCTTTCGGTAACGGAGAAGGTCCACTTTGAGATGTAGGTTCAGACACAGCTGTCGTTTTTGCCGCAGACCTTGTAGTGACACCTCAGGAAGATGCAGCTTGAGATAACTCAACACACGGAGAATTAAAACTTATTAATTCCTTATTTAAGCCGGGAGTAGGCAAAGAATCAATTGGCGGAATGTCAATGTCTGAAGCAATGGGATTAGGAACAACGCTGTCTCCTCCATGCTTCCGCTTTTTTGAAGCTTGTTTAAGCTTGGGTGATGGAGAGGATGAAGACTCAATGCACTTAAAGTCTTTAAATGCATCTTCATATCGCTTAAACTTTTCGTTTAGAAGTTTTAACTCCTTACCCAACTCCTAAACATTTTACAAAGCTCAACTTCGGTTGATCTGCACTTGGGGCAATACCAACGAACACCTTTGTTATCGGCCACCCTACCATTGAGACCAGCACATTTTACGTGATCTAAGTCATCACACAACCAACACGCAACGCAACGCTCTAAGTCGTTTTAACTGTTACATTTTGCAAAACAGCAGGATGAATACATTGCAGCGCGTAGTAGTAACAATTTTTATGTACAAGAAAAACTCACAGTGTACGCTTTTAGTACGATAGTAGCAAAGATGAGCGTTTGAGAGACACAGAAGTCTAGGTATTGTAAGTTCAATGGTTAGAAACCGTGCTGAACTTAACAGTTTTAAAGTCATGAGCTAAAACGCTTAAAAGCATAAAAGCAAGCCAAAATCAGCCGTTGCAGGAAAATTATTTGATCGATGATAAGCAAAATGTATGACAAATCGCGGAAGATGGGAAAATTCACTCTCATGCAAAACAATAATAATGCAAATAGGCAAAAATGCACAAGGAATGACAAGAATTTTAATTTTTAATCCACGCATTTTATGTCTAAAACCCAACAATTTATTGGAGCTTGGCTTCAAATAGCCTTTTCCAGTATAAATTACACAAATTAAAACTGCTTAGCACTTAGATAAACAAAGTAACTTTAGAAATTCTTTCAAACGAAAGTTTAAGCGACCACACAGTACGAACGTTGCCACGTTGGATCTAGTTTTTTCACCTTTCCGAAAACTACCGCTACATGGTAAGCAGGGCTGGTTTTACCCCTATTTCATACATCTTCGATAAAACATTCAGTTATACATAATGAGATAAACTTATATGTTATATGTGGCGGTATCACGCCCGGGTTCCAAAATTCCATAATAATTTTACTTATTTTCAAGGGATTATTGTTAGTAACAATTTTGAGTAAATTAGCGGTCTAAATTTCGAAATATCGAAGTTTCAAGCACATCTGAAATTTACTATTATATGAAAAGTGGGGCTAATTTTGGTCCGACTTCAATAATTTTCAAAATTTTGTTTTTATGTGCCAAGCACAATAATCATACCGAGTTTGGTAGAAATTGATCGAATGGTTACCGAGATACACATATGAGGTCATAAGTGGGCGGAGCCAAGCACATTTTCCAAGATTTTATCATGAACATATTTTGTGCTAAAGAATTATTGCAAACATCAATTTTGAATAAATCAGCTTCAGTATTTTCTGATTTAGCGAAGATTTCATATTTCTCTATTTCTCGTTATATGCGATGTAGGCGTGGTTAATGTCCGATTTTGAAATTTTTTCAGACGTTGCTGTACCAAGCGATTACCAAGGTATACACATGTAATCATAAGTGGGCGTGGCTATGCCCATTTTTCAAAAATTTACAATATTCTTATTTTCCGTTTAAAAATCATTGTAAATATCACTTTTGAGTGAATGAGCTTCAGTAGTTACTAAAATATCGCAGTTTGCGCATTTCTGAAAACTACCATTGCACGGGAGGTAGGCGTGATTATTGTCTGATTTTGCCCATTATCAATACCAAATCTCGTTAAGGTATCTCAGTTTTAACCGAATTCCAAAAAAGGAGGAGGTTATCAGTTCGTCCGAATATATTTTTTTTTTATGTATGTTACCGCATAACTTTGGACCACATCAACCGATTTCTTTTTGCATCGGAAAGGTAGTGTCTCAGAGGTGGTCCCATACTAATCTGGTTAAGATCCGATCAATGGATCATGAGATATATATATATATATATTTTTTTTTTTATGTGAGAACGGTCGGACAGACAGAGGGACCAATTATGTATGCACTTGTTTGGCTGTTACAAACAACCGTTATGTGAACAAATTTATAGTACCCTTGTGCACAAGTGCGCTCGGGTGTAAATATATAACTGCATTTGTGTAAGGCCATCTCAAGTGGGTCACAAATTTACCGACCCTCGAATTTTCAGGTGATTTTTCGCTCGAATGAAGTGCTACTCACCTGAAATACACTCCGTAAATTTCATTGAAACATTTTCAAATTTAGACTTTTATGAGCATTAGAATATTTTTACAATGGTACGCAATTTATTTTTTTCCCTGAAAATTCAAATTGGAATGCGATGTTTTTTTAACCATAGGGCATACAACTCTACTAAAATTAATTTTTTTCGTCTTGAAAATTTTAAAATTAATGTAAATGAAATTATTTTGTTAACAAATTAAAATTTAAACAACTTCTACGCCTGGGAGAAAAATTATAATACCAGCATATCACGCCGAAAGTATTCAAGCATTCACTCCGAAAAACAACATGTGAACGGATAGGAGTAGTTTCTTTATAACTTTAGTTTGAGCTTACACACTCCGTATTGTACAAATGGTATAGAATTCTCGAAAATCGATATTTTTCGATCGGAAAACTCTGTTTTTCTTCAGGATATTTCCAATAATAATACCAAATTATTTATTTAACCATTTAGCATTAATAAATGGTTAAATATAAAATTGGGTATCGTTATTGGAAGAAAAGCAGAGTTTTCCGATCGAAAAATATTGATTTTCGAGAATTCCATACCATTTCTACGAAAAGTGGGTTTTCCGCTTTTGGCAACCTCCATATATTTTTTTATTTCGAAATAAAAAATTTGGAGTTAATTTTTTTCGATATAGAACAATCCTAGGGGGTGAGAGCATTTAAATTCCGACTTTACTTATTTTGGTTTACCCTAATGTACGTACATACTCATGTATATGATGTGTCCTTTCCAAGGAATTACACTTGCGATCAGCTAATTAAGACAGCAACGATTTGATAAATTTTGGCTACTTTTCTTTTGTTGATTTAATGTTTATTATTTTTTCATAAATGTCTAGTTCATTATATGTATGTCACATAACAAATACCATATATCGATGGCTTAGTGGAAGATCGACCTATCTCGGCAGCCAGTTCGAAAACGCTCTATCTCAAAAAAATTTTCAAGAACGCCCTATTTCAGAATTTAATTGAAAAACACCGTATCTCAAAATTCGGTTCAAAAACGCCCTATTTCACTTCAAAATGTATTGAAAATATGCTGATATAGGGCGTTTTTGAATCGGCAGCTGAGATAGGGCATTTTTGAAACGAGTTCTGAAATAGGGCGTTCTTGAAAAGTTTTTTGAGATAGAGCGTTTTCGAACTGGCTGCCGAGATAGGTCGATCTTCCACCCCGCCATCGATATGTAAATCCACATTTCAAACTTTTTTCAGAAGTTATAAAAAATCTGCAAACTTTAATCTAAATTTTCAACTTTCTAATTAGATTTTTCAGTTTTTTGAGTATGCAGCTTTATAGCCCAATAAATTCTAGTATAATAAATTGCAAGTTTGGAGTTGCTAAAAAATCGCGTTGGGTTTTGGCAACTTTTTCGAAAATTTTTTCGTATGAAAAAAGGCGCAATACAATTAGAAAAAATATATATATTAAGAACACTGATATACAGCAGAAATGTTCTATGGATGCCACTATCCAATTCCTATGTAGAATTGCTGGGTGATTCCGAAAATCGAGCTAATTTTTTTTTCTATGGATATGTTTTCTAGATGTTTTCAAATTACCGTTATTCTTAAGGCAATAATTGGTCCCTTTTAATCACGTATATTTTACGAACCAATTTAAAAATCTTAATATAAAATACGGCAAATGAAAGCTAAAAAAGCAAAGGCGCATCTTCATTTGACCACCCATTATTTCTTATTTATACGTGATTAAAAGGAACCAATTTTTGCTTTAAGCTGAATAACAGTAAATTGCAAATATCTCGAAAACGTATCCAGAGAAAAAAAATGTATCCGATTTTCGGAATCACCGAGCAATTCTACATAGAAATTGGATAGTGGCGTCTGGAGAACAAAAACCAAACTAAAACTTTTGATCCAGTGGAATCAACGCAATTTTCTAACGTCTTGAAATTTGCACTTTAACTACTCAAATTTTATGGGCTATAAAACTGCATATCGTTGATGTTTTTGCAAAACCGCCATCGACCAGTTTCAAAACCGCCTAAATCGCCATTGTGATAAAAATGAGTTTTGGTAACCCTGAACTTCATGCATCGAGATTTATGCATAAAAATCGTCAAATCGTTTTTCAAACAGATGTGTAAAATAATAGCTAAAAAATACCGCATATCAAGGTAATGCGTTTAATGAAAACCCATTTTTTCGTTCTCCTGTAAAATTTGAGTGCCGTAAGATAGGCGGTTTTGCAATTGGTCAATGGCCGCCTAATTAGAAGATCGCAACTGTATATGCACTTGAATTTAGTTAATAATTAATTAATTAGTGACGGTGACGCGATGTGTCGAAAACTTGCTCGATTTAACTGGGTTTTCAATTTGGGGGGTCAAATTTGCTAATAATAAATTTACACAACGTACATACAAAGTGTCCAGTATACTTTTATTTTTTAATTATAAACCTTCTTAATAAAATGGAAGTTGACCACTACATCTATCTATAGCGGTTTTCATATCTGAATACATGTCTAAGATTTTATAATTTATTAAAGATAATGTTCTCACCTGGTTTAATATTAATGCCACAGTCAATAACAACAGCTCCTGGTTTGATCCAACTTCCCTTGACTAATTCAGGTACACCTATGGCAACAACAAGAATGTCCGCAGAACGACACTAGAAAAAAATTCTCCTTAAAGCATATGTACACCAAGCTTCGTCAGTCAAACAAGTTTCACTCAGTAAAATTCGTAACTGCTATATATGTATGTATGTATGTAACAAGCTCATGCATATCACAATAAATGCTATGATAAAAACAATTTAGAAGTTTGAAAAAATCTAAATATTTTCGCTTTAACAATCCTTTAATGGCTGTGCTATCGGCTCTCCTGTAGTAGATTCTTAAGAAAGGTAGGTACCGTTTTTTTGACTGAATGTAAATCCTCTTTTATTAACATTTTACTGTTGATTTTTTTGGCAAAATCGTTTTTTTTTTTTAAGTGTGGCCTTTTTCCGGCCGCTAGAGTACTGTGACCCTTTAAGTTGTCAAGATGTTGCACCTGCGCTGATAAATATTTAAGTTTTTTCTCATAAATGGAAAATTAAGAGTGAAATGTGGAAATTTGTGGTTAGGTTGGAAGGAAAGTTGCAGGTTAGATTTCAATGTATTAGGTAAATTTTAGCTTCCACGGCTTATTATCTATATTTTTATTAAATTATAAATAACATTGTCATGCTCTTTTTAGTTTTAAAGAAGTCGTTTTGAGAATTGCGAAACTTTATTTAATAAAATAAATATTTAATAACATTTTTTTACAAAAAAATATTTGATATTAAATTAATAAAATAAATTTAACCAATTCAAGAATGCATTACGCAGGGGTCATACGATTTATACATTTGTACAGATTTTTAACTGACTTCCAAAAAAGGAGAAGGTTATCAGTTCGTCGGAATATTTTTTTTTTTTGTATGTATGTTACCGCAGAACTTTGGACCACGTCAACCGATTTCGATAATTCCTTTTTTTGCATCGGAAAGGTAGTGTCTCAGAGGTGGTCCCATACTAATCTGGTTAAGATCCGATCAGTGGATCATGAGATATATATATATTTTTTTTTGTATATGAGAGTTGAAGTCGGTTTTTTTTTTTGCTAAAAATTACTTGTTATATTTTGACAGTTACAGAGCGGGGTTGTTTGGAAATTTTTTAATTGAGCTGAACTCATTCTCGATAAGAATTTCTAGACAACACCACTCTGTGACGGCCAAAATGTACAAATTTTAACAAAAATCTGGAAACGAGCTTTCGCTTACTTTGTCAAATACTAGTACATAATGCAATAGTTTAGAAATTAGTGAGGAAACGATTATCACCAATGACATGCCTATGTTAAAATAATGTGTTCAGCGATCTAAAATGCAAGCGATGAGTACGAATTTCTCGACGAGCTAACTCACTATAGGTCAGAGAAGGTTTTGCTGGGTACATATAAGATAAGTTTTTGCAAGTATATACAGTGAAAGCTCTCATAAACGGACGCTCTAATAAACGGACATCTCCTATAAGCGGGCACAATCTTGGAAACTAACAAGTTTTGGTTTTTTTTTCGTACAAAATGCTCTGCCATACACGGACTTTACGATAAACGGACGCGGACACTCAAACATATCTAGTAATGAAAAAAAAATCTCTAACAAGCGGTCCATTTTGTTTTTCTTTTTCAGTCAAAAACGTACGTCCATATTATTTATATTTTTAATACAGGATTATTTTATAACTTTGATATCAGGAGAGAAATTTTGTATTCCTAATTACGCATTGGATAGTTCAGCTCGAAAAAGCAGATAATCTGGTCATACATGAGTATGTCGTCAAACATTATCAGCCTGATCATGAATAATCGGTGAAAAAATGTCACTGGCGAAAAATTTCGTTCAGCGAAATGGCATCCTTTATCATGAATGTGGAACAATCTCGGTTGAATGGCATTTCATACAGAAATTTCAAAGTTGGGATAAGAGCTGTCCAAGCCATTAAATACAATTTCAATTTTGAGCATACGTTTTTCGTTTTGAGTATTTCGTACATTTGTGAAAATTTAGGATTTTTATGAATATTACGTTCAAGGAATTTTAATTGCATTTGCATCTTATATGTATACATACGGACAGAAACGAATACCTCATAATGGAAAACGCGTAAAAAAAATGAAAGAAATGTTTTATGGAACTGGTTCAAAATTTTTTGTTTTTTATTCGCCCAATTTTTTTTGTGCGTTTACTTTCCTATTTAAATATTTAATTCTAAAAAACATCCAGCACTTATAAAAAAATTATTTAATGTTTTCTTCTAAATTTATATGAAGACTTAACTAACAATTACTTGATAGTTGTTTTAACTGCCCTTTAGTGAAAATTTTTTCAAGGGAGGCTTGTAAAGACAGCTTCGTTTAACTTGGAGGTAAGATCCGCTATAGTGGCTTCCATTGTCTTAATTTTTTTTTCATTAAGAAGATATATTTCCGTTTTGAAACTACATTGTATGGAATCATTGCTGAAGAAAAAATTTAAAAACATGTTGATAAACAAATTCATGTACACATAAATACATATGAGTAGTCCACTTGCAAAGTGCGTTATGCGAAATTTTTTCGATTTTTGGTTTTTGGTGGATTACGTACCAGTATTTAAAGTAGTTTCATGTCCACTAACAACACAGTGCAAAACTTTTTTATATTCTGAAAAAAATAGCACCAAATGTTAACTCTTCTTCGCTATCATACTTATTTATAATCTTTCAAAAGTATACATCTTCTGATGAACTTAGAAAACTGCTTTAAGTCGTATAGACTGTTAATATTATCTTATGTCATGTTATGTTATGTTACAATTTTATAAGGCTCTTATTTGTCCAAATTTTCAGGTAATAATAAAAAAGATTCAATTTAAATGTTACTTGTTGTCGTAGTCGTTTTTTTCAAATTTATGGCGTTCTATTATAAAATCACAACCCGCTGTTTGCAAGTGGACTACTCATATGTATGTATGCAAATCAGTGTAAATCTAGGCCCTGACGTGCTTATGTGAACATAATTTTGTAGGGAACTATTTATGCAGGCTTACTCAGTTTGCGTCTGCGCATCAACAGATGATATCGTCACTTCTGAACTTTCGTGTGCTTTATGCATCTCAGGCACAGGAACCTCCCAGGGCATGGGAACTGCACCTTGGTATAAACGCATGCGCTTAAAAATATTTGCTTGCAATGGGCAGGTAATAAAATCATTCGCGTTGAATTGATTTTAATAGACACGGGTAGAATCTTCCAATTGAACGCCGAAACGATTCTCTCAGCGGTCTTCTAACTTCGCAACTAGGCGCATCACACCACTTTAACGTCTTAGCTCTTGTCACACATAGTGAAACGCTCATAGCTCCTGAGCCTTTTCATTTTTCTATATAGTATGTATATCTATAAATGGATGTGGTCGAAAAACAAAAAAAAATCACCCAATTCAAAATTTTTAATAAGAAATAGAAAATGCCAACTTGAAAAGGGTTAAAACTTATTCATCACTTGACATTAAGCATGTTTTATCCAACCATCACAAGCAAATAGCTAAGTCTTGGTCAAATAAAACGAAATTAGCTTATTTCCTATGTTAGCCTAATTTTGACAGTTGTTTGACTGCAAATAGTGTCAAAGTAAGCTTTTGCCTCTTTTTGATTGGCTGAAGGAGAAAATTTCTGATGATGAATGGCAGTGCCTCTTGTTCAATATATAAGCCAAGATAGCTTTTCATAAGCCAATATAATTATGTTGGGTAAGTCCTCCATACAAAATAAGCTAATAGCTTAAATTTCTGGACAAATAAAACACGGCTATTATAGTCGGTGTTCAAAAGAGAGAAATGTCAAAATCACTTCTACCTTATTTAATATGCCTTGGTTTTACCCATATATGTAATACTCCTATATTGGCAGTAAAAGCTAGTACCGTCCGAAAACACTGCAGTATAGATATACATATCAATAAACACGTACAAAAGAAAATAATTCTAAATAAACATGTACATACACAACACACACAAAAACGGCACTCACGTACACAATACATACACAAACACAGTACTAGACTCCCTGCAGGGAAAGCTACTAGTTGTGAACTAGAATTCTACCAGTTTGCGTTTAAGCCCAACTAGTTCACGTTCTATCCTTTTTCAATGTTAGCGACTGGTATTTTTAACACTGCGATGTCCTACGATAGGGATGCACAGCAGAGATGCACGCAGTCGACCTCAGTATATCCAGTAAAAAAACTGTGGTGAAGTCCTTTATGTGGATAAAGTTTCCTGAGATGAAATTTTAGGTAGCACACAATTTCTTACACGCATGGTTGCTTTTCAGCACTCATGAAATAAACTTAAGAAATATTTGAAAAAAAAAGTTCATATAGTACATTAATCTTTGAAAGAAATACCATATAATGTATGTACTCTGGTTAATAATATCAAAAAATGTATTAGAACCACCGGTTAATGTTATATTTGATACAAATTAATATTGCTGCCCCGAACGCTCTGCGCCTTGCCACTGAATAATAGTTTACTTAAAATTACATCCCTGGTCCTTGTTCTTTCTGTATCGCATCGTGGTGAATTCACATTTCTCAGAAATTTGACAACAAAACAAAACAAAGCGAGTATTTTATTTGCTAATTTTTGCGATTTCTATTGTTTAATGTAAATTTATGTCTTTTTAGGATATGTCGAGCCAACAAAGAAGGCGCAGTTGGAAAATTGAGTAATTAGTAATGAAGTAGCAGGCATATTTGGAAAATTATGCCGATAAGCAGGATGGAATTTGGGAAAGTAAGTGCATGGTTGCAGCATATCTATGTATAAAAAGTATTTAATTAAATTGTTTATAGAAATGTTATAAATCGAGTGGCTCATTTACGATGTGCTCCAAACATTTGGCGAACTTTTTTTCGCCTTTTCAACGTGCTAAGTAACAAGTTAAGAGGACTGCCATCACGGCCGGTAAGAAACCGCAAGCAAAGGGCAGACAACCTTCCAGGAAGCTGCCTCCTGTCCCCGAGTCGAAGCTGCAGTTCAGCAAGAGCAGGTCAGCAAATTGCTACCCTGATCAAACGTAAACTAAAGCGCTCT